TCGGTGGCACAGTGGTTAGGACTCTCGCCGACCATGCACATGGTCCGGGGTTCGAGCCCACGCCGGCGCACACCTGATATCTATGGTCGGCCTGCAAAATTTGGGCTACCGATATCCATGCTGAAAATTCCATAATTGTACCAAAAATACAGTGTGGAATCAAGCTGTAAATCAAAAATAAAAAATAAAATAAAATGAAGGAAAGGCTTCTTTTTAAATGATATTGACCTCATTTTTGGAATTTATTTTCTAATAGGCTGTTTTTTTGCAATGTTTCACTGCCTTGATGTGATGGCTCGAATAACCCGAAAGTTGCAGGTAAAGTCAAAAGCTTTTACTTACATACTTTATCCTTCTTTTCTGTGCTCTCTATTGTCTTTTGCTGTAAGTCTATTGGACAAAATAACAGTCTCTTATTATATAATCACCAGTATTAATTTAGGAGTAAAATGACAATAGATTCTCACCCTAAAATAAGTAGTGGGACATCATACTCTGTAGTCACCAGGGCGTCAGCCAAACTGGGCAAACAGGTGAAGCTGATGGACTCACGCATACCGGTCCTGAAGACCAGGGCTGATATTTCCAGCTCGTACAAATTACCTATGTCGCCACAGTCCTACAGTGAGGCTGTGCAAAGTCAGCCAAGTGGATGTGGCTCCACCCCTGTTAACATGACTAGGTTAACAGATCCGAGTGGGAAAATTGCACTAAGTGAGAACTGCATAACACCCATCCCCATGGTAGACCATGAAACAAATAGGAAGGCCAAAAAGAAACGTTCACGACGTCGCAAGACGACAAGAACGCTCCCCAAGAAGGCAGACGACTGCAAGGTCTGCGCTTCTGTTGTCGAACAAGCAGACTCTGCTTTCGAATGTAACTTTTGCAAGCGATGGGTGCATTGCAGATGCGACAATGGGGTACCAAAAGCATATTATGACTTTATGCGTAGAAACCCATGCCAATGGTTCTGGTACATATGCCCGAGTTGCCGTCCTGATGTAGCCTCGCGTAGTCCTTTGAAAACTAAGGCTGGCGCAGAAGTAGCGGGGAAAAATATGAAATGTTCGACCAGCACCAATCCGGAAATTAGTACAAATGCGCGTAAACCGGGGATACCAAAATCCTCACTGGTTAAACCTGTAACTCTTGACATAACCGCTCCAGACACAGAGGCTGGAGAACCACGGGTCTCCGTCGTTGGAAAAAGACCCCTCTCGTCTGCCAGTAATATTGGCCACAGCACTGAGACACAAAAAATACCCAGTCGAACCAGACGAACCAAAACGGTCTTAAAGGAAATCACAAATGTGCGAGGACCGAGCCCAAGCCCACGGTTAGTAGATCAAATTGTGTAATCCTCTTTAACGTACCAGACTGTAGCAGTAGTCTGCTGAAAGATAGGGCCCTATTTGATCAGGAACAGTGGTCCATCTTGTGCAGCACACTGGGTTTGGACATCCAACCGGTAAATCTATGCAGATTGTACAAGGGCACTGCTGCACCTGAAGGCAAACCATCCCCACTGAGGGTAACATTGGGCTCTACTGAGGATGTTGAAAAAGTGTTACTGGCTTCTCAAGTCCTTTCTATAGGGAGGGCCTGTAACATACGCGTTAAGCCAGACAGGCCGTGGAAGGAAAGACAAATGGCGAGGGAGTCGCCAGAGCTCATTCCTTCTGCCTCCATGGTTGTGCATGGCATTCCCGAACTGGTAACTGGGAACGCCTGCGAAAAGCATTGTCATGATGTACAACAATGGAGATGGTTGGCATCCCAGATGGCCCTGGGAGTTCAGGGGCTGTCTCTATTTATAGACTGCCTCGACCCACTCATCTTATGTCAATTAACTCGCCACGTCTGTTAGCTGTCAAGTTCAGCTCCCAAGACCAGTTGACTACCGCTCTCCAAAGATGGTACGAGACCAAGGACAAGGTCAGCAAACACATTCGCTGCTGCGAGAGCCGGCCTCGCACTCAAAGGAGAGAACAAAGCGTAGTTAAAAAAAATCCTCAACCCCTAGTCACACTACAGCGGTGCAGCACGGACGATGATAGCCAGTGTCATCCGAGTGCTCCGACTGAACTAGAAGAAAAAAACGCCAACAGGCCGGTTCCTGGGGAATCGGCCAATTAGTTCGTAGGATAACCCCTCAACCGATAGCCAATATCAAGTCAACTACCCCCCAATACGGGGAAGTGGTGAGACTGACTACCAGTTGCCTGTACAGTAATGTGAGAGGGCTAAGAGGCAAAATAGCTGAACTTAGACACCTACAATCACAACTGAACTCCAAAATCATAATACTGACGGAAACCTGGCTAACCCCTACGGTGGCAGACAGCGAAGTCAGTATAAATGATATGGTCCTAGTCAGGCGAGATAGGGACCTGAAAGAAGGAGGTGGAGTCGCCATATACGTCGACAAACAGCTCAGATGTGTTCACGCGATGGACCCTCCCCTCACAGAGCTCCCTGACTCCATATGGTGCCACTTCACCGTTGGGTACTGCAAATATCTAGTGGGCAGCATTTATCGATCACCTTCATGTGGAGCAGACCACAACCAGGTACTGCTAAATACAATCTCAGCAACTCAAGACATGGGTTATGATCAAATTGTCATAGCTGGTGACTTCAATGCCCCATCTCTTAACTTGGTGTCGGGAAAAGCCCATGATAGATTTGATCGAAATCTGCTGCATACCATCAGGAAGGCTGGATTCACTGAAAATGTCAAGATGGATACTAGATGGGGCCCTGATGGGAAGTCTTCTAGACTGGATTACGTGCTCACTAGTGACCAGCTACTAGTGGAAAACGTTCAGATCACGACTCCCATAGGTAGTAGTGACCACGCGGTCATAGTATTCGACATAGTCCTCCGCGAGCGCTTACAGTGGGACAATACACAGCCCTATCTGTGTTATAACAAAGCCAACTACACCAAAATGCGAAGACTTCTGTCTGAAGCAAATTGGCCTAAAAAATGGACAGAGCTAACAGTAGAAGAACACTGGAGAGTGGTAAAGGAGATCATTCACCAGGCGGTCTCAGACACTGTTCCTTTAGTCACACCAAAAGCTAGGAAGCAACGATCATGGCTAAAAAGGGGGACACAACGCCTTCTGCAGGCGAAGCGAAAAGCCTGGTTTGCGTGGCGACGATCGAAGAGTCAACCCGAACATGAAGTGTACCTTGAACTCAGGAATCGATGTAACATACGAGTCCGGAGCGATAGAAGGACATTTCAGGGAGACCTCGCCAATAAGCTTCTCGTGAACCCCAAAAGCCTATACAGGTTTATGTCCGAAAGAAAACCGACCAACCAGGGAGCATGCAATCTAGTGGGTTCTGATGGGAAATCTCTTACTAGTCTTGAAATGGCAGAGACATTCAGCCTAGCCTTTCACAGGCAACTAAACAGTAACGAGGATATTACCCCTACAGAACATCCAGATTACATCGCAAAACCAACACGCGAAAACCTGCTGGGGACATTTCAAATTACCCCGGCTATGGTACTTGCAAAATTGGGAAGGTTGGCTTCGGGAAAGTCTTCAGGTTGTGATGACATCAGACCATCTGTCCTGAAGCAGTGTTCAGAAAGTCTCTGCCAACCCCTAAGTGATCTGTTCCAACACTCCCTTGATGTAGGGAAACTTCCATGTGAATGGAAACGAGCAATCCTATCCCCTATCTTCAAGGGTGGTGACCGGCAGAATGCGACCAGTTACAGACCAGTTGCTCTACTTCCAGTGATATCGAAGATATTGGAAAGTCTCATTGACGACCACATGAGAAAATACTTCGATGGGACTAACCTTCTTCACGAAGCACAGCACGGTTTCAGGAGGGGAAGATCCTGCGTGACGAATCTTCTACTAGCTTGGAACGATTGGACACTATCCTGGGACAAAAAGGTACCAGCCCACGTGATCTTTCTCGACTTTGCGAAAGCATTCGACACAGTTCACCATGGTCTGCTCCTTCACAAAATAAGCAAGGCGGGTGTTTCTGGAGCACTTCTCGCATGGCTGAAAGATTACTTAGGCGAGAGAGAATTCTGCACCAAAGTCAACCGCATCCGATCATCCTGGCACACCTCGGCATCAGGGGTTCCTCAGGGTTCTATCCTAGGGCCGTTGATGTTTTTGATTTTTATCAACGACCTGCCCTCCCAACTAAACTGCTCTGCGCTTCTTTACGCTGACGACGTAAAGATTTGGAGAGCAATAAACTCATCGGAAGACTCAGACAGATTGCAGGCTGACCTGCAAACTCTGGGAAACTGGGCTCTGGCTAACGGAATGCCTTTCAACCTAAAGAAGTGCAAAGTAGTGCAACTTCATTCCGGCAGGTCACAGAGTGTAAATTACACCCTTGGTGGCCAGAACTTGAGTTGTGTTCAATCAGAGCGAGACCTAGGTCTTATTCTAACAGAAAAGCTAGACACCAGTAGAAATTACTCGAGGGACGTCGCCAAAGCCTACGCAACCTTACACTTTATGCATAGGCAGCTGGGAGCTCTCACTCCCGAACTGTTCTTAAGGTTATATAAGGCATATGTGAGGCCACACCTTGAGGTGCATAATATCATTGCACCTCCGCTACTCAAAAGGGATGCTAACATTCTAGAAAGTGTCCAGAGACGAGCGACAAAATGGGTGATCGGCCTCCGCAACAAATCATATGAGGAAAGACTAAAGAAATTAGGTCTTTTCACACTTAGTTACCGAAGGCACAGGGGAGACCTCATCACCGTCTACCAAATCCTAAATGACCAGGCCCACCCAAATAAAAGCATCCTGCCATTAAGTGACTATAGGCTTCCACGAGGTAACCCGCTAAGGATAGCACACCAGAGACCAAAGACTCGAGTGCGATCACATTTCTTTTCGCTTCGTGTTTGCCGTCTCTGGAACGCTTTACCGGCGGCCGTGACTACAGCGCCATCCCTGGAGATTTTTAAGCGGAAGCTAGACAATCATGCAGAAATGCAAGGTTTGTGTCTCAATGGCTTATCCCCATAAAACTTGAAACCACACTGTCAATGGATAAGCGTACAAACTAAATCCCCACGACCTATTCTGCCTTCTCTCACTCTATCTTTTCCTTAGGTCACCTTTATTATTCCACTTATCTCAACCTATATTATCTACACTACAACCCATTATTTTTATTCTTATTATTATTACTACTATTCTGCTTTTATGACTACACCGAATGACCAACGGGAGTTAGGTCAAACTCCATTCACGGCAGCAATACAGTCCTAACATACTGCATACTACAAACCACATCCCGACCGATCCCCGCACCACTCCTCCTGGAGTCTACCAGAGCTAAAGCAGTCGAGTGGCGGGACTTACTACGTAGAAGCTCACCGAAGATCTGGAACCTCTACCTCACAATCAAGAAGCGAGCTCAAAGAAATCACTGGTTTATACTAGCTCGTAATCAGGATATTGGCTATTGGATACGAGGTAATTGGTGCACCCCTTTCCCTAGATCACCCTAGATCACAGTCAAGAAGCGAGCTCAAAGAAATCACTGGTTTATACTAGCTCGTAATCAGGATATTGGATATTGGACCGTGCTTCATCTCGGAACTAACCTAACGGTCAAGAAGTAAGCTTGAGAAGTCAGTGCTTTTTGTGCACACCTATAAAATTATATTGAATATTAGAAATGGTTACGGAAATTGATCATGAGTGCTACCTCGTGACCTAGACAGATGATTTGTTAATTATAGTTCATTTCTTGTCTTTGCCACAACTTTTTGGTGGTTCTAAACTCTATTATCTGGCTATTGGTAAGTAAATTTAGACATGATGAATGTTTTTATCCAGAATATTATTACTACACTGACGAAAGACTAGTAGATCTGGGAACTATTGGAATACAGTTCCCAGATCTACTAGTCTTTGTATGAGCCCATACATATATCATAATGATTTGCTTCATTTCATAACAGTACTTATAATACGGCCTGAGATACCTAGCATTTACAGCAACATTCTATCCAAATTACCCTAAAAATTTTACAGAGTATATCCATACTTGGGTAACTAAAATTTCTAATGACAACGTTGTCATCAGAAATTCTGAATTAAATCTCAGTAATTCTGAAATAATTCTAGCATCCTATAGTGAGTAAATTCTGAATTTGTTCTGAAATGGATTGTTTAACGGCATAGACTAGAACTCAGTGTTAGTTTTCAGTATAACTAGCGCTAATTCAGCACCGTATTCTTTTTTAAGCATTGTCAGCTTATCTGCTTTATTTCAGCCCTTTCTGATCATTTTCAGCACTGACTAGCATTACTTTAGAACGAAAAGACTCAATTCAGCACATAGTAGAAATTTTTTCAGCCTAATTCAACCCTTCACAGATCATTTTCAGCACTGACTAGCATTACTTTAGAACGAAAAGACTTCTACTTATTATCATCATCGCCTGTGTCCTACACCGGCACAATTCATTTAGCTTACAGAAAGAAATCAGTTTTTATAATTGAGAGACTTTTGTATTTATAAACTGTAGTACAGTGTCATTGCGATCCCGTCAAGTGCGATCCACTGGTAGCATCCTGCAAATAAGCAGAATGAAATATTAGTGGGTGAAAAATTGTGCTGAGTGCATTCTAAGGATTTACATTTATAAAAGTATGTCTGGTACCATCAGCAACATTAAGCTAAAATTATAAGGTAATTGTAGTGTCACCATAAATTGCATATATATATATATATATATATATATATATATATATATATATATATACGTCTTGGTTACAGATACAGTACAGTTCTTTTACGACTTCCTTGGCCATGTGTTTCATAAATACTTTTCCTTGATAGCCATTTTTAACTAAGGTGTCATACAATTTTAAGTTCACCTTCAGTTACATCTGAACATATGGTTGTGACGCTGTAACTGAGGGTTCTTATCAAATTTCTTGTGAGGACATCTAAGAAGGCGATTCTCCTTTGGGACTATTCACATTTGAAACTAATGGCTGGATGGTTCTCATTGAATTGAGCCATTATTCCTAGCCTATCTTACTCATTTTCAAAAGGAATGAGCGTATCATCCATGTGTCGGCAATAAAATGAGAATTTTCTAATATTGTCGTTTAAAGAACCATTTTCTAGTTTACTTAGAAATCCGCTACCACCTTATCCACTTGTCTGTAGAGTCCACCATCACAGCTAAAGTTTACATTCATGATAAGATGCAATGACATTTCTTTAAGGACTTCTGTTGGGATACTAATATTTGTTGACATGTTTCTCATTTGTCCATATGTGTAGTTAACATTTTCAATCAGAGGTAAATTTGTAAGTAGCGATGTTACATCCAAAGATACCGTAGTTTTATCTTTCATGTCAGTGTCTTTAACTTTGCGAATTCAAACACATCTTTCACAACATATATCACTAGCTGTTCATGTAAAGGGTTGAAAATAGTTACCAACCCTCTAGCCAAACCGTGGTGGGGCAAATTTTGCCTAATTAGAGTCGGTCTTAACAGTCCGCCAGGTTTATTTACATTGAGTAGGTTGTACGTGCCCGTAGGTCTGAGTTCATCGTAGCTTTCGTGAAGTATCTGTTATTCGCTTAGATTCTTCAAAAGTCTGACAATTTCATTCTCTCTTTTATTAAAATCCTTTCTGTCCTACAGATTTTAAAAGTTTGTGTTTGTCGTGCGATCTATCATTCATCTTTTAAATGTAATCCTGTCAAGGAGAACTACTCCTGATCTTTTATCAGGTTTTGTAATTACCCGTCTTTGTCATTTGTTGAGTTTTGTAGTTCTCCCTGTTTCCTTTTGTCAGAAAACTTTTACAGTCATACGTAATGCTCTCATACTGATAACAAAAATCTGCTAGATTGTATTTGAAGCGTTATAGTTCCAGATTAAAGGATAGAACTAGAAGATCCCTTGTCTGATTATATAGGTTTTCAAACTCAGTATCTGTATCTATGTGGTTGACTTGTATTCGTCTGTCACAGATCATTCATCAATACGAAGTTTATAATCAGTATGAATGCTATTCAATATGAACATTAGTCAGGAGCATTCACTACTATATATTCGTTGTTATGCATAATAATTTATTTTGGAAAGCTGGTGTTCAGTTTGGTCTTACATTTATGCATACTATCACAAATGTGTCGAGTAAGAATCTATTAACAGTCTATTCTCATCTAACTCTTGGAGTTTTGAAGTTAGTGATTTGATATCATCTTGGAAAACATTAATGCTGTCAATAGGAATAGTTCTTTAATTATTATGGATACATAACTAAGTAGTCTGATGAAGTCATAGAAAAGAATATTCTCTGTTCAGTTATCAGTCTTTTGAAATGTCTAATGAGCATATTTAGTGAGTATATATGTGTACAATGATGCTGTTACCGTGAAACTAGATTGTAAAGTCTAAGTGGAGAAATACATGCTGTTTTAAATCAGGGGGGTCTCGAATATTAGTTATTGATTGTGTATGTCCTGGACCCACACAAAAAACTTGGAGGATCTGGACTTCGCCGATGATATATGTCTGATTTCCCACAAACTGGAAGATATGCAAGTGAAAAGCAACAAATTGGCAGAAGAAGCATCCAGAGAAGATAGGACTTCAGGTAAACATAGAGAAAACAGATGTGATGAAGATTCCTGGCCAACAAAAACAACAGACAACAATCAGCAGGGATCAGAGAAATCTAAAAGAAGCGACCTCCTTCACCTACTTACCTACCTACCTACCTGGGAAGCATTGTTCAAACTACATATTGGCGGAACTGACAAAGATATCAAAGCAAGAATCGGAAAAGCAAGACAAACTTTCATTACTCTCAAATCTGTGTGAAGGTCAACAGCACTCAGCATCAAAAATAAGATCCGGATTTTCAACTCCGATGTGAAGTCAGTCAGTGCTACTATACGGATCAGAGACTTGGCGCGTCATGAAGAGCTTCTCAAACAAACTTCAGACCTTCATTAACAGTTGTCTTCGCTCAATACTCAAGATCAGATGGCCAAAACAGATCAACAACAGGGATCTCTGGCAATGAGTGAACCAACCAGGAACCGATTGTGAAACAAATAGGCAGGAAGAGATGGAGATGGATTGGCCATACTCTGAGGAAACCATCGAGTGAGTGACATCACTAGACAAGCTATCGCTCGAGTGAAACCCGAAAGGGAAGCGGCGAGTTGGTCGTCAGTGCGAGGGTGACATGGATGAGGTGATCTGAAGAGGAGATGAAAGCGTGTGGGCAGACTTGGAGCGGGGTGAAAAAGTTGACAGAAAACCGAAGGCAATGGAGACGCGCGGTTGAAGCCTTATGTTCCCCTAGGAATTAAAGGAAATAATAATTGTGTGTGTCTGAAACAATCGACCACAGCGAAATTAAAATCCGATTCCATCCTGAACTGTTATTTGTTGTTTTATGTGCATAGCTTTTAGTCACTGGAACACCTACCTAGATTTAAGCCATCATGCTTCAAACAACAATAGGTGTTTATCTTTGCTGTCTCTATGTAAAAACTAGTGACTGGTAAGTAAGGTTATCCTCTATACAAATATCTTGACAAAATGCGCACGAGTTTGTATCTCCTGATAATGTTCACATTTTGTGTATGTGGAACGCAACTTGGTACATGAGATCACCAAAAACTCATTACAAATAGTGGGTTGAATTCGGTGCAAAAATACAGAGGAGAGATGTTATTTAAGTGTAAATCGTCGGATAATGAAACACTAGCACGATGTAGTCTGTTTTACCGAATTCCCCTGAGGTAAATGTTAGAGTCAAAAGACTAGTTTTGTAACACTTCAATCCATTTTCGTTTACTAATATGTATACATATATATTAATCTATAGGTGACGAAGATATGTCAGAAGATGTTCAACTGTCTGCTGAACTCGACAAAATTGCTCTAGTGGAGAATAAACAAAATGAAGACAAACGTAGGGTGTAAAATTTAACTGGCTTTCAAGCTTAACAGTTTCATCATATGAACCTTTATTAAAAGATGACCAGAACAATATCACTTTTCGTCAATATAATAAGGAGTCGGATTTAAGCAGTATTATGAATCTAATCGACAAAGATCTTTCAGAACCTTATTCTATATATACTTATAGATATTTTATCTATAACTGGCCAAAATTATGTTTATTGGTTTGTCTGCGTGGATTAATAATTACCAAACATTTTAAAAGGCTATTAATGAACATGAAAAATGCGTTGGTACTATTGTATGTAAAATGGAAGCACAATCTCCAAACGTACAAAGCGGATATATAGCTATGCTTGCAGTAGAAGAAAATCATCGTAGACTTGGCATTGGTAAGCTGTGTTCTACTTTTCTGTCATTGACAATTTTATAGGCTCACGGCTGGTAAAACTCGCCATAGGACTCATGATTCAAGATGGTTGTGATGAGGTGAGATAACACTTTTGAACTCACTTAATGTAAATTTGTTATTGCATTTATTTTTAACACATCTGCAAATTGTCTGGTATCTCATTTTATTAGTTCTATGGATAATTCGCTGTATTTCATAGAACACCACTACATAGTCTTGCATAATTGCAGCTTGTCAGTTGTTGACTGTATTCTATTCATGCCAACCTCGACTCTGTCTAGCGATTTGTCATGTCCAGCTTACGCATTAGTGTCATATTCTGAAAAATCTTTCCACTTATTCTTAAAGAAAGTGACTGTTTACAGTGCTTACATGCATTAAAAGTATGAAAACTAATCCTTTAAAAATAACTGATATACATTTTCATTGGCATATCAATTGGGAAGCGTAGCAAATGTACATCTACTATTGTAACCATGGAAACGAAAGTTAGTAGAAACTTGCCGTATCGTTTTATCAGAAACAGTGATGAAAAATAAAAAGGACTAGTAAAGATATCTTGTCATACATTCAGTTTCTTCTATTTGTCAAAATACAACACCTTGGGCTGCAACGCTTCAAACCGCACATCACAAAATACTTTATTAGAAGTTTGAAAACACTCGTTATTGAACAAACTATATTTTTTCCTAAAACCCGCTTCCATTTCTACGGTTATATATTCATTGGAGTTAAAGAATGACTACTGTCAACAACATTTATCTGGGACTCTTCAGCAGTACACGTCCACTGGGGCTCGAACCCAGAACCTTTGGGTCGCAAGGCAAGCTCATATACTGTTCAACCACTGGGATCCGGTCCAACAGCCCACGAAAGGAATTCATACGTCACTGGATCGAATCCCAGTAGCTGAACTTTATGCGAGCTTGCCTTGTAATTGGAAGGTCATGGGTCGAACCCCGGTGAGTGCATAGTGCCAATGAGTCCCAGGCTAGGACGAAACGACTGTCCGGCACTCCCGAGTCTTCATTGTTTCTCTAACTGATATCGATCCGTGGTTAAATCTGAAACGAATGAGATCCCTCCAAAATAGCTCTTGACAACATTAGGGCTTACTAATAACACCGAATGATTAAGGTCGAAAATCGAAGGTGTATATGCGAATCGATTGACACCAGATCATTGTTCGAAACATGTCTATAAGATAATATGCATCAATAAAGTACTGAATTAAACGTCAGGTATCAAAGTAAGTGATTGTAAATAATAGTGACTGTGTGGTCGTGAATGCTCCGGAATAGTGTGCCAGTTGAATTCTATTCAGTGTGATTATTATTTTTTGATTACAGCTTGATTCCACACAGTACCTTTTGGTACAAGTGTGGAATTTTCAGCATGTGATATCGGTAGCCCAAATATTGCAGGCCGATCATAGATATCAGGTGTGCATCGGCAGGGGATCGAACCTCGGATCATGTGCATGGTCGGCGAGAGTCCTAACCACCGTGCCAGCGACGCACATGAATAATGACATCAGAAACAGGGAGAGACAATTAAGCAAAGTGTGTGTGAATAAAAATCCAAAGATAGGTTAGAAAAATAAAAGGTTTACTCGTACAAGTGTAGTAATAAATAAAGAACAAGGGGAATTCGTACATACAGGTCGAAGGTCAAGCCCAGAAAGTATGACGTAATATACTATTTGTGGATTTATAGATTCCACAACAGGTCAGAGTAACAGCAGAGACTGGACTTGTTTGCTAACTATGCAAAGTTCGAATTGTTCTAAGCAAATGGTTGGGACTTCGGCTTCAGGATATGGGATTATTCTGTGCTGCGTACTGAATAATTTTCAAAGGACACTAGGTCGTTGTTTTATTATAGAATTCCTGAATGGAAATCAGTATTAAAAATTGTGGGATTAGCAAATCAGCACAAAGATCCCCTTACTTTTTGCCCTTATTGTATCATTTCATATGCTATCTCTGCGTCAATGTCCTTGTTTCGAACCTGTACAACGTCTGTTTTTCAGCATTTGGGAAATGAATTGCAGTTACCGATAAGTCCAACCTCTCTAACAAGTTGATAATAGTCGGCTGAATGCTTTCTTAGCCTTAGGAGACGACTTTTGTTGACATCGATGGTTCAATGTTAGAATGCTGTGCAACCGCACTTCGATTCCTGTCCGAAGCACTCTCAAACTACACCTAGTCGATAGTAAGGTGGGTGAGGGTTGAGTGGGATTATGTCGGCAAAAGCTGTCATCTACGATTTGGAATTTACGTCGTCTTACCAGAGCGTATATCAAAACTGTTAATGATGCATTGAGACATATGCTTACCTTACTGCATTTCGTCGTATTAACCCGGCTATGGTTTCTTTAAACTTAATCTGCTACATAAATATTTTCCATTTCTGCCCTAGATTGTTTTGGAAACAGAAGTGACTAACAAAGCAGCTCTTGCACTTTACGAACAGCTTGGATTTTGTCGAGACAAAAGGCTTCTTCGTTACTACTTGAATGGCAGAGATGCATTCCGACTGAAGTTGTGGTTAACGCCTCGTATGAGCAATGGTTTTCTGTGAATTCTGTCGATAACTAATATTCTTTTGTCCCTTTTTTATTTTCTCCTTGACTTGATTTGAAAATAAATGCTTTTTAGAATAAATAACGTATTGTTTGATTGTTAATGAAACATCTGACCAGTTGTTGTTGTTGTTGTAGTCCTAGAACTCCAGTCAATACATGAGAAGATCCGTAAGCAATATCGACGTGTATTCAATAAATCTGTGTGTTCAAGTATTGGTTTGTAGGGATTTGGTTGATCACGATAGCGCTATATCGTGAATCGGCAGAATTTAGAATTCATGCGTTGGCGATTGGATCGGGTCCCAGTGGCTTAATGGTCTACGAGCTCGCCTTGTAACCGGAAGGTCCTGGGTTCGAATCCCGGTGGGTGCGTACTGATGAAGAGTCACGAACCAGGACGAAACAGCTGTCCAGTACTCCCAGGTTTTCCAATGGTTCTCTAACCAATGTCAGCTCATGATGAAATCCTGTAACAAATCTGTGTGTTGTCTGTTATTCTAACTCAGGTGAAAAAACAGAAAGTATCTCTTCTGAAGTTGATAACGTTGTAGTTGTTTTAAAACGTAAAAGTTGGAGTTGAATGATAATATTGGTTAGGACTACTAAATAGGCAGACTTTAGACCAGCAAGAGGGTGTATTGATCATATCTTCACCCTTCAACAGACTCTAGAACATAGGCATACTTACTGTTGGCGTCCAACAATCGTTATATTTCATGATCTAAAGGCGGCATTCGGTTCTGTTGATCGAGGGGGTACTCTGGCAATGCTTGGCTGTAAAAGGAATGCCGAGAAAATACATTGCACTGATCAAGGCACTCTACTCGAACTCATGCAGTCAGCCGGGTGAGGGCTTACGGTGAGTTGTCATCTGAACTGGTGACGACTAGTGGTGTCCGTCAGGGATGCCCACTATCCCCATTTCTACTCAACTATTCATTATAGATGTACTAATGGAATTCATCCTAAGTGACTTTATCGACTCAGGGATTGACTTGTTACCAGGGGATAATCTTGTTGACTTACAATATGCAGATGATATAGTCCTTCTAGGCGAGGACGCTGGCAAAATGCAGAGTCTTCTAAACACCTTGAGCTGCCATATACGAATGTTTGGTATGCGATTCGCTCCCTCCAAATGTAAGATGATGTTACAGGACTGGACTGGACGGCACTGACTTCTAGCATAGAAATAGGGAGTGAAGTGGTAGAGCACGTTGACCACTTCACTTATTTGGGAAGTACCATCAGCCCCAACGGGTTGATCTCTGACGAAATCTCAGCACGGATACAGAAGGTTCGCTGGGCATATGCCAGTTTACGCCGTCTCTGGCGTAGACGTGCTATCCGGCTATCGACCAAAGGGCGTGTGTACTGCTCATCAGTCCGCTCCGTCCTCCCTTACGGCTGTGGGCCAGAGATGGCCGTTGAGAGTGGAATACATGAAAAGGCCGGCTAGCTGTCTTTGATCACAGGTACCTGCGTTCTATCTCCCGTGTGAATTGGTATAATAAGGTGAGCAATGTTGAGGTTAGGCGTCGAGTGCTAGGTAAGGAGGGGAAATCAATCGACGAGTTGGCTGTGAAATTACATCGACTGAGATGGTTAGGACATGTGTTATGGATGCCTAGTCATCGCCTTCCTCGACAATGGGCAATGTTAGTTGACATAGGATCTATCAGATCGGAAAAGAGAAAACTAATGGTGGTCAAACCAAAACATGGCTTCATCAGTCGATGAAATCTATAACAGTTAGTTTAAGCCACGTAGGAAGGTGCAGACTTCCTGGTTGGGGTCCTCGGGACGGTAAACACCAATGATTGGAGATAATTGGAGCTATTGCTCAAAATCGTTCTCAATGGCTGGCGCAGATGCATTCACTCCCTGTGACTTATGATTTCCAATAAAATTATATCGTTCTTAGACATTACTACTCTTTATGCCTCATATCTCTCTTTACTTTATTCTTCTTATTCTGTGGCTTTGTGTGCTGAGTGAAGTGTTGTGACTCGAAGTGCTGCACATCGGTGCAAAGTTCTATGTTGAAACCAGACAGACAGGACTATTAAATAGTGTAACTGAGATACTAGCTTGAGTTTAGGTGGCAGTAATTTTTCGTTGAATGACCAACTGACTTAGTAACACTGAATTTTATACAAAAGCGCATGAGTTTAATTTTCAAATATATGCGTAAAATGTTTTGTTTTTTTAGCATGTCATAATTGTATTTATGATGGATGTATTCACTGAAATTATAAGAAATCGGGATTCCTCATATATCCTTCCTTATGGGCATTTTTAAAAATAGATTTATCCCTTTATAAGTGAAGAATTTTTAAGACAAGGCAGTTTTACAGGTTAACCGTAACTTTTGCCTCTGAATAGTATTATATTCTGTCTGTCTGGATTCAACATAGAACTTGGCGCCGAAGTGCAGCAGTTCGAGTTGCCACGTCCCAAATGGCACACAGAGGTAGACAAGAAGATGAGTGAAGAGAATCAACAGAGTTTGACAAGTATAAGAGTGAAACAGAATGGGTATTATATTACCACCATATTGGACAATGACAATCAATTAAGAGGTTTCTATTCTCACTAGTGTTATCCCTGAGACTAGCATTATTAGTGCAAGTAGCTTCAGAAATTACTAGCTTGCTAGGTTACTAGCCTGCTAGTTTTCTAGCCACTCCCAAGCCCGGATAAAGAGGGAGGGTTGGGGCATGGTGCTAGCGACTCCACCGCCGTAAAACAACCAAATCGCTACAGAAACTTCAACGAATAAATATATTAAAAATTCTAAAAACACACAATAGCCTTATTTTTCGCTGGAATCGGGGAAGTGAAATGACGCAGGCTGGTGAAAGCCTTCGGGAAGCCAGTCAGCCGATGTGCCTTCTTTCGATGAAAGCAAAAGTAAGGATGGGTACCTGGAATGTTCGTACAATGTACGAAACTGGAAAGGCTGCCCAGATAGCCGCTGAAATGAGAAGGTACAGAATAGAAGTGTTGGGAATCTGCGAAAGCAGATGGAACGGAACTGGAAGGTGCCAACTACCTACTGGAGAGACAGTAATCTATTCCGGCCACCTAGAGGACAACCATGAGCACACCGAGGGAGTGGCCATCATGATGTCACCAACAGCAGCCAAAGCTCTCATGCAGTGGGAACCAATCTCCTCCAGGATAATGACAGCCAGGTTCAACTCAAAAGGAAGGAAAGTTACAGTCATTCAATGCTATGCGCCTACAAACGTCTCAGAACAAGAGAAGAAGGAGGCGTTCTACAGACAACTACAAACAATAATGGACAACGTCCCAAATGGCGATATCAAAATCCTGATGGGCGACATGAATGCGAAGCTGGGAGAAGACAACACAGGAAGAGAACTCACCATGGGTCGAGAGGCCCTCGGTGAAATGAACGACAATGGTGAACTCTTCTCAGACTTCTGCGCCTTCAATGATTTGGTGATTGGTGGCAGTGTTTTCAAACACAAGGATATACACAAGACGACATGGATTTCACCAGATGGAAACACCAAAAACCAAATAGACTTCATCTCAATTTCAAGAAAGTGGAGACGGAGCCTACTGGACACAAGGTCAAGGAGAGGAGCAGATGTGGGTTCAGACCACTATCTAGTACAAGGGACTTTCAAGGTGAAACTAAAAGCCTCGAGGATAGCTGGAGATAGGCCACAATGCAAGTTCAACACTCAATTACTGAAGGACACAACCACAAAGGACACTTTCACTGCAACTGTCAGAGCAAAGCAGGAAACACTACGCGACATCACTGAAGAATCATGCGTGGAAGAACATTGGAAGTCTCTGAAGGCGATTCTCAACGAAACGTGTTCAACGGTTCTAGGAAGAAAGAAGAGACAAGACAAGGAATGGCTCTCAACGGACACTTGGAAATTAATAGAAGAGAGGAGAATGGTGAAAGAGAAAATGATTCAATGCAAGGACGGACAGGAGAAAGAGACGCTGAGCTCAACTTACAAAGCATTGGACAAAGAAGTGAAGAAGAGTGCTAGGAAGGACAAAAGACGATTCTACGACAATCTGGCCACTGAAGCTGAGAAGGCAGCAGGCAAAAGGGACCTGAGGACACTATATCAGATAACCAAATCTCTATCCGGGAAGAGATCAACACAAGCGAAACCTATAAAAGACAGCCAAGGGAACCCAATTACCAAGGAAGAAAAACAGATTAAACAATGGGCGGATCACTTCAAAGGACTCTTGAACCGACCATCACCTGCAACCCGTCCAGAAATACCAACAACAGCACGTACACAACTGCAAGTTGACACCAATCCTCCAACGGAAGCTGAAGTCTTGAATGCAATCAAGCTTCTGAAAGCTGGAAAAGCAGATGGAATACCCCCTGAAGCACTGAAAGCGGACCCAGAGACGACAGCAGACATGCTGACTCCATTATTGCAAAAGGTCTGGAAGGAGGGAAAGGTGCCTACTGACTGGAGGAAAGGTTACCTCGTGAAACTACCAAAGAAGGGCGACTTAGGACTCTGCAAGAACTGGCGAGGAATCATGCTCCTGTCGACGCCAAGTAAAATCCTGAGTCGCATCATCCTGGAGAGATTAAAGGACGCACTGGAGACAGAACTCCGACCAGAACAAGCTGGATTCAGGAAAGGCAAATCATGTTCTGACCAAATTGCAACTCTACGCATCATCATCGAACAAAGCATGGAATGGCAATCAAACCTCTACCTCAACTTTATAGACTTTGAGAAGGCCTTCGACAGCGTTGACCGAGAAGTAATTTGGAAACTACTCGAGTACTACGGCGTACCCCAAATATTCATCAACCTTATTCAACAGCTGTACGACAACGGCACATGTCAAGTGATCCACAACGGAAAACTCAGCAAGGCGTTTGGAGTAAACACAGGAGTCAGACAAGGGTGCTTATTATCACCAATGATATTCCTAATTGTGGTGGACTGACTGGATTATGCGTCAGACA